GGGGGGGGGGGGGGGGGGGGGGGGGGGGGGGGGGGGGGGGGGGCGAGGACGCACCCGCATGCGGGAGACATTAGGGATCGAGGTGGGACTACACCGCAATGTTACGTAAGGTGACCGCGGAGAGCCTAGTTGACCTTCTTCGGCGGTCGTGGCTACCATTGATGGTGCTGAAAAACACACATCTGCTGTGTAAGAACACAGGTTTGAACCTCTATTGTCGGGCAAAAGTGCAGGTTTTCCAAGTATCACGCAAGATCCTTTTGGAATACGTCGTTAACAGGTTCAATCTTGTTGCAAATCGAACTGTTGCTTTGGCGTCATTCACGAGGTCGTCTGCAGAAGCGGTTGAAAAGAAAAGTGTCTTGGCGTGGGAAAATGGGGACAACGGAATAGGTTGTGGCACCCGCGTTTTTTGTCGCAATAACGCGTTGTGCAACGCGTTGAAGTTCCCACCGCCCAAAATCTTCGCGTCAACACTCTGCCGACGAAGGTCGTGCACCGGTCGGTAAGGCTGCACTCCATGGTGTTGCGGAGGACTTTTCAAAATCGTTGCGTTCTGTGTTCCTGTCACTTCAAGTGATGTGATACACATGGGCCATCACGGTTACGAAAACTGTGCGCTCATGTGCTGTTTAAAGCTACACCCCATCCACGCATTACACTCTTGCATCGGCTGCTGAAAGCAACAAGCGCTGGTCATGTACGGAAAAGAGACGTCGGGAGACGAATCATGCGCACAGGAACACTCTCTCGATACTCCTCCCGACCACCGAAAAACATCTCGATCCGACAACAGCCGACGCCGATGGATATGTATCTCTCTCTGTATCTCTCTTCTCTCTGTCCCTGTCCCTGTCCCTTTCCCTCCCGCTCTCCCTCTCTCTCCATCGCCACGGTGTCGAGGTCAAAGCTTCGATTGATGCTGTCACATGCATTGACTTTCCTTGTTTCATTTGCAAGTGGATAGGCACGGGCGCGCCGTGATCAGTAGATGGCATAGGAGCGTCGGGCACGATGACAATATTTTTGACAAACCTATTTTTATTCACTTCAACCCAAACGATGGCTCCAATGTCACACTACTGCATACGGCAGATGGTGTGCCCAAAATGCTGTCTTCCAAGCGCCTGTCATGGTTGCGGCCGCTCTCCGCGGCAGCAGCGTGAAGACCGTGCACCTGTAGGGTGTTTACGAATCCTCTACAAACACGGTATGTCCCGTTTAGATTCCATGGCGAGGTGGTCAACTTGGTCGGTGGGCAGCATTTTGGAGTAAAGTCTCGATCGTTTAATGAACAGACATCTTTCGTGCCCCAGTTTCAACTATTGGGCCAAGAAGTACTGTAAAAGGGGAGCAATTCTGGCCACCTCAAAGTCTTAGATGACTTCTTCACAAAGATCTGCACCATGAGATGTGATGGGGAATAGCCTTCC